CTCCAAGGCAGGTAACTTTCTGCTTCCTCCTGAAATTATGTGCTTAAAGCATCAGTAAATCACATTTAATTAATAAAAAGCCTTAATATGTAATAATTAGGAGGCTTTACCATATTTTAAAATTCAGTTGATAGACATGGAGAATTTTAAGTATTGAGTAATGCACTCAGTGACTTACTCTCTTAAGTTCTTCCCATGTGCACATGCACTGAAATAACTAAGGACCTGGAAAATGAAATGCCAACAGAAATACATATTATTTGCAATTGGACTATAAAAAAATATTTTTTGGTAGATGCAGGAGACTTATTTTAAAAAATCTGATTTTTGTCACATGAAACTGGAAAGTATTACTTTAACAAGATAATTTGGGGGGAAGGTGGAGAATGCAAATGATAGTCTTTGTTCTTGGATTGCATTGAGATTTTATGGAAAGAACTGCATACTCATAAACCAAAGTAGAACTATGTAGTTTGCATTTGAAATAATATGTCTGTGCAGTTGGAAGTTACTTTGGTTATATCCTTCCACACCTTGGAAATTTTACGAGCTCCCCCTTGTTACACTGGCTTTATGAACAGCTAATTCAGTAATAAGAACCTACCATAAAAATAGCGTCTCTTTGGAGTTAAATCCTGAATATTGAAATCACTGATCATTTCATTGTTAATAAGTTCTATATGCTATGACATCATTGATTTTAAACTGAGAACTATTTGCAATAGTTTACTGTAATTCAGTGATAGTGAAATCTACTTCTACTTAGTATGCTTTGTAATACTGACTTCCCAAAATGTAACTTTTCCAAATCTGGACTATTGCAGATTATTTAAGAGTTGGTCACATATTAAGAAATTTTACAGGATATGTATGTACCCTATATAATCACATAAGTGTTCCCCATCATAACAGAGTATATACTCAACAACTGCACAACTTCATGTTTGGCATTGTGAAACTAATTGTGTTGAGTTGTGGATGTTATCAAATCAGTATGGCCTCTTCATCTGCAAAGTAATTTTAAAAAAGTTTAGAACATATGTAAACATGAAGATATACTGGTAAACTTGATTTTCTTTAAGTGTTATTCATTTATAAAATAATTGGAATATTTTTCATTAAATAGTGGTTTTGTTCCAAATTAGTCATATTTATGGATCTTTAAAATTACATTATTATGATTCTGAAATAAAATAAAAATCTTGAGTTTCTATTTCCAGTTATATTAGGCAAGCAATTTACAAGTTGTTCTCACTGGGAGAAACTAGAAGGACAAAGGGACTTCTCCTAAATTAGTTTCTTTTGTATGGTTTCTCACTTGGAGCTCTCAGGTACAAGATGTTTGGAGAAGTAACATAGTACAGGAGTTTATCTGACCTAAACATGGGCTCTGCAGCCCAATCACAGTGAATGGTGACACTTGTGCTGCAAGAGAGGCAGTAAGCTGGAGCCAGAAGTAATTTAGTCCTGGTAAGTTTATCACATCTCAGGAGCTAGGATAATTCTAGCAGACATGATTTACCAGATCCATCTATATTGGTTGTTTAGCATGTTGGAGAGCTGCTTTTTGGTGCAAATCTTCCTTGCATCTAGACTTGGAATCCTGTTGCATGCAATTAAGTGTCCTACAGATGTGCTGAAAGCTGTTTCTCTCCTGGCGGAGCCAATACTTGAAGTTGCACACACGGAGGCCTTTCAGAGTGCCCCACCTGCAGTGTGGACACATGGGCTTCCAGCAGCTGGCTCTGCTTCTGCATAGCATGCTTCTAGGACTGATGTTTGGCACAAACTTCATTGCCAGTAAAGATGTGATGTGGATACCCTTTAATCCATCACAGCAGATTGAAGCCTAATCCTTCCCTCCAGGCACTGCATCACTTCATAGTGTAGATGTTTGCATTGTGCTCAAGTGGCAATTGAGTAGCTCTTAGGAGTGAAAGTATATAATGGGCTGGTGATCTAGAGCCTTGGAAGACAGGGCAGATGCCTCCTAACTTTTTGTCTCATATAATCCTGTATAATACTAAATTTTTGTCTGTCCTGTACATGGAAATGAGGGGGACTCTGTAGCTCCTATTGTATGTGCCTTGTACCAGTAATAGCTGCCTCATTCATCTGTTCAAAGTAAAACTGTTTGTTATTTTTAAGTGTATGTCGTGTTCCGTGTTGTCCCTGTTAGTGTGCCTTAGGCAGCTGGCTTTCATTCAGGAAAGTTTTTAAGTGTATCCTGGATGCCATCAGGTGTATACTTAAAACTCTTGGCTGATTTGGAGTGAGGTGTTAGGAGAAACTGGATAAGAGTGGAATTCTAGTCAGATGTATTGTTTGCTTCTATTCCTTCCGTTAGTCTGTTAAAAGAATAGTAGGTCATTATGCATCTTTTAATTCTACATTTTCTGATTTCTTTCTGTGCCTTCCTTCAAATGAAGTGCTACAGACCTGGACGGTTTAGACTAAAGTTCACTGTTAGTACATACAAGTATAATGAGAGAATGCTGTGATTTTCTCTTTTAATAAAATCTAAATCATCTTCAGAAAGCAAAATTGAGCTCAACTGGAAATAAAAAGATTAGGTATACTTTATAAAACCATTTCAGGTAACTTTTTTATTTGTAACAAATCAATTTACTTAATACAATATGAACAAAAGCAGATTTCCCAGGGTTTAATGTTGTTCAGAGTAATGTCAGTGATGCTTTTTCTGGGGTTTTGTGTTTACTGTTCATAGCATAGAAGGTAACATTACATTTTCACTTTGACAGGAAGAAAAACTATAGGGAGGGTATTGTCAAATGCAGTGTTTCCTTCTGAGAAAATTTTTTGTTTTCCTTTCTATGTGAAAAACAACACAGGTGATTGTAAATTTGCAACTGGAGATTTTAAGTGCTCTTAACAAGCAGGTTTTGGAGCTCTGTTTTGGAGTTTCATGTTCTATTTGAACATTAAGTCTTTGTATCTTTTTAAACTAAAGGGTGCTTGAACAGGTGCATTTCTTAGCCTTTATGCCACTTTCCATTTCTTGTGAATAATTTAGCAATTTCACTTTTTTTAATAATACTTTTTTTGGCATAAAACCAGGGGGGTATGCTTTTTGCTGGTTTTACAATAGGAGATAGACATGTGCCTCCTCATAGCTTTTGGAAATCATGATTGTATTTGAGTTGAAAAAAGTCACGGATAAATAAAAGCATTGCAATAGTTACTATTGAAATCATACTTTTGTGTTCTGCTAGTCTGAAATGGACTTCAAAACATTCTCTTACAGTTTTCTATCTAAAGAATTTTTATATGTTTCAATGGATGCATAGTACACAATTTCACTGGTACATGTGTGTGTGTTTTCAGGTATAAAGAACAATACTATAAATATAAATCTCCACATAATACATATAGTCTCCAATTAGCTTTTGTCCAATGACGTAATCTGCATGAAAAGACCTACATGCAATTTGTATAGAAGTTTGTGGGATAATCTTTAGCATTTCTTGTTCATTGAATGTTACTATCAGCAATATTGCCAAATTACTTTCATTTTTCTTTTGTATTTAAATTTTCATTAATTTAAGGTCCAGCCCTGTGTAGTACAGCTAAACTTTTCCCTGGTAATCTGTATCTGAATTAAGAATATTCTGAAAGTTTTCTCCTTTTTGTTTTCCTTCCCTCCCTAAGGATATGGCCCTTGTTGCTCCTGAAGCGCCTTCAGAGCAAGCCAGAAGGGTTTTCCAGACATATGACCCTGAGGGTAAGGGCTGTAATTCTTGCTGAAATAAGATTTTTTTTTAACTGAAATGTACTCATTCAGTAGAGACAAATTCCAAATAGTAATGACTACTGCATTGTTTAGGGTATCTCTTAAAAAATGGGACTGTTATTTTCTAAAATTTGTTCCAAATACTACACCTTCAAATCCATTTCAGATTCCATGCTAGGGTAATATGATGTTTATACCTAAGCTGATTAAGAGGGGAAAGAAATAGTTAGTACTTAAGATAGATTTTCAATACACTAGTCAATCTGCAAAGTAACATGAAGAAGCTTTCTGACAATTCTGTAGTAAGGGAAGTTGAGTACAACATTGTGCAATAGGAAGTAGAGTTCTTAGAGCATAAGCTTTTTAACCTTGTCATGTTCTTTGTAATTAAAACTTAAATATAATGTGATTTATATTACATTTTCATAAAATAACTGATCCACTATGATTGCATTCTTCATGGTTTTGTTCTTGAATGTATGTGGCATACACAGAAAATTTCTTACGTTTTGGAAAACAGAGGGTGTCTGACATTCAGGTACTATTTTAACTAATCAAAAGGGGAAAAGATGTACAGTTACTATCTCAAGGTATCAAGTGGAGACGGATATTGCTATAAAGAGATTGAATTCTTAGCAAGCGTTAAGCTTCTAAGTGTATGATAACACAGTTTCTGTTACAGCACTCCTCATTTTTTTAAAGCAGGAGAGAAGTGTTTGAAAACTATGTTCCTTCTAGAACCTCACAATTTCTTTGCAAGCTTTAGAGATAAAGATATGCAGTATTTGTATTTTTGAGTAAAATTTGTACTTCTGGAAATAATTTTGTTTCTTTTCCTAATGAGAATTTTTGCTACTTCGTCAGATAATGGTTTTATACCGGACACTCTGCTAGAAGATGTAATGAAGGCTCTGGACCTTGTTTCAGATCCCGAATAGTAAGTATAATAAAGTTCAAATACTACAGGAGTATCATTAACCACATACTAATTATAATTTAGGGATTTTTTTCTGGATTTTATCTAGCTTGCATTCTTGGCACAGAATGTTATTTTAAAGTATTTAAGTCAGTTTTCAATTAAATGTGAGGAATTAAAATAAAAATGTCTTTAACTTTGGTAGTGATAACTAGAAGCCAAAAAACCCTCAGACCTACTGCATTACTATATATTGAGAAGAAATCATTAATATATTTCTGTATGTTAATAAGGGTGAAACTGTGTGACAAGAGTCAAACAGTCAAGGTATTCTGAGTCAGATTAGCATTGGATTACCACTGGATCTGTCTATTGCGTTTGAAGCTGAAACTGCTTCAGTTATGCTTTTGTTTCTACCAACACTCAGTACCTTGTAGTGTTTGTAATTGTAGTTTGTTTCCAGAAATTACACCTTGATTCCTAGGATCACAGTTAAAACTATCAGATGAAAAAGGTAATTTATTTTAGATCTTATGTGGACAGAAGGGACTAATATTCAGCAGCAACAGTTAACCTTTGTACCATGTTTTGCCACTAAATGCTTAACACAGAAAGGAGAGCTATGTGCTTGAACGTTTTTACATCTCCAAAACATGGTTTGCTCTTCTGTAAACGTATGGTCTAGTTTATTGGGGTCCAAATCAATTGTTCCTGTAGAATGGCTGTGGTGACTGTAAGTTTACTTACTACAGCCTTCTGAAATATGATTTATGCCATTTTCTATCCTTTCAAATGTTACAAAGTACAACCAAGTTTAGTGAGCTGTTTTCTGTGGAGAATGGGAATGAAAATTAACATCAGAAGACACCCAGGAAACTAAAACCAAAGAAAATACAAGACAAAAATGCTAACATTCATATTATGTAAATGAGGGGTGAAATCTGCAATAGATTTTTTTAAAGGGAGGGAAAGAAAAAAGCTTTAGTTTAATAGGTCTGAAAAGCTTTCTTTTTGCCTTTTTATTCTGCTGCCTCAAGAAATCTGCAAAAATCCTCTTTCTGTATTCAGAAGTTTTTCCATTTGGCCTTCAGGGCGTTTGTGGCATAGCCCTGGCCTATTTTATTGTGCATAGCACATTGAATATAAATTGATGTAGGAAGAGCCAGTTGGAAGGCCTGCTATATTGAAAAGCCATGAACAAACCATGAAATATTGTCTTGAATCATCTCCCCTTAAATAAAAATGTAGTCTAATATTACTGTCTTGAGAACCTACACTTAGTTCTAGATAACCTTTCTATTTAATGTGGAACACAAGTATAAATAACACATTTCAAATTTCATACAGGCTTTTCTGGTTGTTTTTTGTTTGTTTGTTCGTTTTTAAGTAAAATTAAAGTCATTGCTTCCAAGCATACTATTTACATTTTTTAGTTCAAGAACTAAATGGAAATTTGTTGTGATCATCCAGTCCTCAGCTTTAAGCATCTCAGAATCTCAAGACTAATAATGGTCAGACCTGCTCAGAGTTTAAGAATTATAAAGGGGAAACTGTAGAGCAGACATGACTTAACAAGGTGGATTAGCCATTCCAGTATTGAATGCCATTACATGTGATTTTATTAAAATTTTCTAGTATTTTAGTAAATACATCTGAGAACCCAGCTCTCTTGTTTCTTTTGTCCCTTTGTTTCTGAAAACAACAATCTGATACTCTTTAGGGCACTGATTTGAGTACATCTGTCAATCTAGGTTTAGCTTGTTTAAAACATTTTATCCTGTCTGTCTGTTTGACCAGTGCTGGAGGCTTTTCTCCCTACACACTTCTCAGCCATAACAGTACAAAGGCCATCAGTATCATCATCCCAGCATTTGTAACATCTTCAGTTAGGAAGCTAAACTTCGCACTGAAATGATTGAAGTGTGTAGACATACTTGTTTTGGTAGCTCTGTCGTAGTAACAGTAATAATTGACTAGCCTTAGCTATTTGCTGAATGAAAAAGCCTCAGTTGGAACTCACAACAATCAAGTTTTAATAAATCTCCCTTCCTGCTTAATAGATTTAGTTTTGTACACTGTCCATACTCAAAAACTTAGTATAGCTCTGCATTTTTAAACAGTTCTTATATTTCAATAGTGAGTACATAGCTTGCTTTAATTTTATTACATAATTGTAAGTGCATTTTCAAAATTGTCTTTGCTTAAATCTGCCTTGGTTCTGTTTACCACCACAATGTTTTTACAGTTGTGTTACAGCACTTCAAGAACTTGAGCAGGTTTCAGACAACTACTGAAATATCTTAAATTTTGTACTTTGAGAGCATAAAGAATGAGCAATAGAAGTATTAAAGTCCAGTATCTTGCAAATCCTTAATTGTAGTTTCACTTAAGTAGTGAAATTTTTTTTTAAGATCTTAAATTAACATAGTTCATAAGATATCACATTGATTTTTATGAATTCTAAAATTCATCTTCCAAGGACCTTAACAGAGCCACTTTCTTAAGAATTGCTTAACATGTTCTGTGTGTATTGAGGCAGAAAGAAAAGGAAGCCAAATAGTTTACTACTAGTGCTATGTTAGGACCAAGGAAGGAAGCTACTTACTAATAAAGACAAAAGGATAAAATGCTTACATACAACAATAATAAAAAAGATTTTAGAAAGACACCTTCTGCCTCTAGCCCCCATTAAAAGATACCAAAGTGGTTAAAGGCCTAGGTGCTGAGAGGCAGGTATGAGAAGCTAAGACTGTATCTTCTGAAAGGAAAATGCAGTGCCTACGTGAAAAAAATAGGGAAGAATATTTATGGAACTTTAAGTGTAAATACAAAATAAAGCAGAAGTATGATCCTCTGAAGACTAATCTGCAAAGTTCTAAAATAAAAGCTAATAGTATTTTTTTTTTTAAGCCCATTAGAACCAGGAGACTTGCAAGAGGTCTGTAGTTCTGATAGGTGATCCCCAATATTAAAAAGTATTCAAGTTGTTAAGAAACTTGTAGTGAATTCTTCTTCATATTCACTGGGGAAGACGCTAGGGAGTAGTTCTCATCTTCACTGGGGAAGATTACAGAGAGGTTTCCAGACTTAAGACTTTTTATGGGTGGTCAGTGTAACTAGAGTCTCAAGTGTCAAGACAGGTAAAAACTCCCAAAATCTAAAGAAACTTCAGAATGAAATTGCTGAACAATTTTAGGTTACATACCACTGTAAACTATCCTGATACCAGACAGTACCAGAATGAGAAGGTGACAAATGAACAGCAGTACTTAGAAAAGGATTTGAAGGCCAGTCTGGGGAAAATTCACATGTATATGTTTCATGTGTAAACGTGGGATAAGAAGGAAAATTTTTCTTGTAGGTAAATAAGTGATCAAAGGATAAAAATAGCATTTTTTCTTAATGGAGGGAGATCATTAGAGGAATTTTACAGGAATTTGTATTAGGTCTATGAAGTTTGTTAATGGCGCCGGTGAGGATTTGAAGGTAGGGATTAATAAGATAGTTTGCTGCTGATATAAAAGTATTCAAGATATGTGGAAGAGCAGCAGAAGTTACTGGAAGATAGGGTAACAGAGAAGTCTCAATACAGTAAATGTAAGTTGATTGCACAGGGAATAAAACAATCCTGATTTTTCATACACATTGTTGGGCTGTGAACTAGATATTACCATTCAGGAAACAGATCTCAGATTTAAACTGATAGACGCACATATGGAGTGGGTTTTCTAGCAGTTATGCCATTGTATAAATGGATGACATTTCACTCCATCTTAAAGAACATTGTAGAAAGGTATCAGGAGGGCAGCAAGGCTAATCAAAGGTACAGAATGGCATTACTATAAGGAAGAGCTAGGTTAGGACTGTTCGACCTGGAAGAGACAATAATTGGCATGTAAAAGAGGTTTCTAAAATCAGGAGTTTCATAATAAATAGGGATTGATTGTTAATTGCTTTACACAATACAAAAACAAGGTGTCATCAAACGGAATTATCAAGTGACATGTTCAAAACAGGAGGAGATATTTATTCCCAGAATCCGTAGTTTAATTTTAATTTTATGAGTGGAGTTTATTAAATGCCACAAGTGTATATGGGTTCAAAGCCAATTAGGCACATGCATGGAAAGAAAAAATATATATCTTTGTGTTTTAGATACTGCCTCTCACTGAAGATGTCTTTGAGCAGCAGACTGCTGGAAATGGGGAGGGTAAACTAAGGATATCACTGTATGTTTGCCCTGTTGTACTCTGTCGTAAGCATCCACTACTGACCAATGTCAGAAACAGGATACTGGGCAAGACGCTCTGTTGGTTTGACCCATTGAGGACATTCTTGTGTACGGTACAACTTGTAACTTAGGCAAAAGGCTAGGTAGATGCAAATAAATGTTTAAGCAATCTGATGCCTGTAGAAATATATTGCTTAAATAGAAACATAAAGTTATAATTGACATTCATTTGTAGTGACCTGAAATGATACCATATTAATGCAGTAAGGTTTTTCAGATTAGTATTGTTAATATTTTCATTATTATTGGTTTTGGCTTCTTTGATATCAAGGATGTGATGTAAATAAGAACTGTATCTGTTCAATTTAATTTTATTTCAGTGAAAATCTTGGAGGCTTTTCAAATCTCCATTTAAAACCAGGTTGTTTGGCAGTTATGGAGCTGTATTTAAAAGGTGACTGTTTTATGTATCTAGTTTCAAGAATGCTTACAAGACAGCAAAATGCCTTTTGGGCTGTAAACCTGGTTTTAGATTATATGGGTCTCAAATTATTTGACCAAATATGGTGGTGCTTCAGAATTATCACTTATTTAATTTAAAATAACAGATTAGTTTTATTTAAAAATAACCATGTTTTGGCAACTCGCATGCCATTCTGGTACAGCTGTCACGATTAAAAATAGAATAGTACTGCTATACTTGGCAGCCAGTACTGTCGTAGCACAGCATAACTTAAGTCATGCAAGAATAAAAATGTCTTACTCATACTTTATTATTCAATATTTTTGTCATAGTGTAAACCTCATGAAGACCAAATTAGACCCAGAAGGACTGGGCATCATATTACTGGGTCCCTTTCTGCAAGAATTTTTCCCTGAGCAGGTAATCAATGTAGCTTTACTGCTGCAGAGCACTGTCTGTTCTGCTTGTCTTTGAGATTCATTAAACACTCCATCAATATCACAGAGCTATTTTTAAAAATAAGTATTGCATTCATTTGACACAGCTGAGCAGCATATAACTTCTTGTATTACACAACAACCTGTAGACTTCAGTTTTGTATAAGGTGACCATTATTTTCTTAGCTTTACACTGGAAGGAAACTCCATTTTAGTGACAAGTTCTAAAATTAACTTCAGGAAATATATCATCATTTTGCATACGAAATTGAACTGGTTCCCTACTCAGAAAATTAATCTGAGTTTGTTTTTTCTGAGAATAAACGACCATACTGGTTTTGTCAGTATTATAAATGTCTGCTGTAATTGCTAGCAAATGGGAAAAGGTTACAGACATACTTAAAAACAATTTTTATGTACATCTCTAATAATGTAAAATTTTTGACAGTTTAACAAAAAGTCATGCTAGAGTTATGTTTAGCATATGTGGAAGTCAGTATCTGCCAGGGTAATGGAAGATTATTTTCAAACTCTGAATCTTTTCCATATATTCATTAAGATAGCACCACCACTGAGAAGCTTGTGTTGACCTAGCACTGTTGTCCTGTTCTCCCTTTCTCCTGAATCATGTTTTCCTGCCCTCACGCTGCCTTCCTCCTGCCACTGGGAGCCTTCTTGTACAGATATGGGGTAAACCAGAGCAAGGAACTGGTCTGGATGAGAGCTGTCTTTGCAGGTTTATGGAAGCTTGTTCCATGTCCATGCAAATTCTTGTATTGGCAGAAGAGAGAGGGTTTCCCCAGGGACAGATAGATAAGCTGGTGGAGGCAAGACTTCTTTGGAGACTTTTGTAGCTTAACATGTCATCAAAACTATATGGCTTAATTTTTACAACCAAGGAAATGTGAGACTAATATTTTTTAAATGACTTCAGCAAAACTCTTTTTAAGGGTTGTGCAGCACTGTTTGGGTGTAGTATTCTGTACTATGAAACAATCTAGTCATTCAGAAGACACGAGAACTGCACTGCCAAAGATGGTAGAGAATGAATACATCGTTAAGAGATGATTCATCATCTAAAGGAAGAAGGAGTTAGTGTTCATTTTCTCCAGATTTAGAGATTTATATCTGCATTGTGTATTTGCCAACTGTTTCTTCTTCCTTTCCTTTGTATACCCAGAAGTGGCAATATCTTTACAATTTAATATAATTTAATTTATTTCTAACAATTATATTACACTTGAAAATCTGGAAGACTCCACTTCTTAATTATAGGCACTGGTTGCTTAGAATGAAGCTCAGAAAGCCAAAGTATATCCTCCATAATAGGCTGTGCCTAAACTATCCAGTACTGCAGGCCATAGGTAATAACTGGAGGAGAGAACAGCCATCATAGGGGGCTGCTGCCTCTGTTGCCTATTGCTGAAGGACATCACTGACTGAAGTAGTGCAGCTGGAGAGGGGAGCATGTAAGAATCATGGGCAGATCCCTGCCTTAGTCACCTAGAGAGTTGGTGGGGGAACTCTACCTGCTGTAACGTTCCCGAGTTAATGCCTGTCCACCAAGTACTAATCTCCTGCTGTGCGTGATTTCCCCCTACTCAGTTTTGCCTGTGCTGTTGAACTTTTGCTGGCTCCAGGACAAAACATGGGGAGTATTACTGCCTTAAGGGTACAGTCTGAACAATCAGCAGATTTTGGTCTGGGACCTGCCTATATCAGTTACCGAATGAATGCTGAGAGCACGGATATGTTGTCCAATCTCTCTGCTCTGTGGATCAGATTGACACCTCATACAGAATTTCTTTCTGAAAAAAAAAGTTCTGCAGAAATCATGTTCCCCTTTATATAATATTTGAACATGTAGCTAGTGTTCAGGAGATCCAGATGAGAGTCCTTCTTTGTTAAGAATATTCAAAATCCCATTCTTATTCTCCTAGAAAGTACTAAGCTCCGCCTCAAAGCAGGAAGGTATCTCAGCTGTCCCTTTCAGAGCTGTTGGCTTAGAATAAAAATACTCAAAAATCATTCAGCCTGAGAGAGCAAGCCTGACTCTTTAGTGCGTAGGGTAGTCATCTGGAGAGGGGGATTCCTGAATTCACTGGTAGCCCTTTTTTTGGGAAACAATTACTGCACAAAATTCTTAACGTCCATGGGACAGGAACTGGAAAGCAGTACTTTTTTTCCTTCAGAGTGAACATACCTTCCTTAGGGAAAGAATGTGTTCTCTTTACTTTCCAGTAAAGTTTGATTTTATTTATCTCTGTGAAGCAACTTCTGCACGTAGAGTTACCGCTTACCTCCCTTTTCACCACCCTCCCTCCACTGAATAGCCTGTGTCGCTGTTGGAGACCCATACAGAGATAAGGGTTTTGAATTATTTAAGAGGAGAAAAATGAATGAGGGCTTTTCATCATCTGATGGATGTACTGTAACCTGAGCAGATTTCCTCTCATTCCAGCCTTTACCTCCACGTACTTAAAAAAGGGATAAGCTTTTGTTTAGAGCCTGGTCCAGCAGGCATAAAAGAGATGGTATTACAACTGATTTGTGTTTCCTGATTCAGTAAAATGCAAAGCTTTTTAGTCCTTTCAGGACTAAAGCATTTAAACACCCGGAATGGTAAAGGTTGACAACTGCAGTACATCTCTTGTAGGCCTCAGCTGAACGGGTGCCTTCACAATTGGTTTACAGTTAGACAGGTGTGGGCATAAATTATTTTTTAGCTCTCAAGTGGAGGGTCGGAGTTTGGATCTGGTCCTTAGTAAATATTTAACTTCATACCATCCAAACAGTCACAAATACACATGAATGTGGCTACTACATAAGGTGTCTGACTTTAAAAATTAGGACAATTTTCCACATGGTCAGTGCTGAAAGTTGTAGTTAAAAGTGTCCAGATGAACACAGAAAATCGTGACTTGCTCTTGGGGGCATTACCCTTTTATTTACTGACATATTTTTTTTTTATTTCTGATGAGAAAGGAAAAAGAACAAAATCTTCAAGATCATGTCACCTAAAAGAAATTGTACTTTTTTGCAATTTCCTTGAGTCTTCCTGTTTAAATGCATCTGTCAAGTTGTGAAGAGATGAGACTGTCAAGGCATGATTTATATGTCACATGAAATTAACTGTCTTCTCTCTACTAGGACTCTAGGGTTTCAGAGTCATTCACTGTTTACCATTACAACGGACTGAAGCAATCTAACTATAATGAAAAGGTAAGATTTAAGAAACACAAATCTAGCCTTAATAACAATTGGTATGCAAAACTGACTGTGATTAAAGACAAAATACTTTCACTTGAAACAGACTTTTCACAAAACTATTATTTCTATAATTTTCTTCCAAAATAATATATTTCAAATTGGAAACTGTGCTCCTGATCATATTTTACCTAGTATAGTGAATCAGTTGGCTAGACCACATCTCTAAAGCTATGTGTTTTGAATAGAGCACTTCTCATGCTTATCTGTGAAAAGTGGGATCTGAACTGTAAAGGACAATGGAGATGTAACACAGACAAACTGCACCTTCTATAAGTAACCCTACATCTAAATTGAGATGTTTGGATATTTTTTAAAAAATATTTTAGTAGTCTAGACTTGCATCAAAAATCAGTATTTTTTGGAACCACTTAGTAGGGAACAAAAATTACCTGTTTCATTTTCAACTTTCTTGGAAGGAGGGGTATACATGACACACCATGACTGCTTCTAAGTTGCTTCTTGAATTAGCATTTAAGGTAGAAGAGCATAGGCATTAATAAACACAGGGAACAAAAATTACTTAAAGTAAGAAGACTTTTTGAGAAAATGTATATATATATACTCAGACTTCAAAATAGGTTGGAGTTAAGTCCTTAAAATTAGCCCTGTGAAATCTCCAGCAGTTTCATACTCCAAAATGCAGGCAAAAGCTTTCAAAGGTGTTTTTTTCTTTACTATTAAACATATATACATAATTAAGAAAATTTAAAGAAATTTTTGTTTTCAGAGGATTCTGCCTATAGCATTTAAAATATATGAATAGATGTGACTTGGAACAGAAGTTGCATTTTAGGGAAAATTAATTCTGTAAAGTTAAGTCTGAGGAACACTGTCCTTATAAAGTAACAATATCAAACTTTGCAGCTGCCATAGTAGTAGATCTCTTGTCACAGAATTTTTGCATTGCATTTCTGCAAATTTTTTTTCCTCATTTTTGGTCTTTACTGTCTATTGAATAAATAGTGGAATGAATATGGCCTGATCAGAGTTTTCAGGTACTTGAGTCTAAGAGAGTAGAGTTTTTTGTTTTCATACTCATTTCATTACTTGATTTTTGTAGTAAGGAAGAAAAAGTATCATAACAAATCCTTTCCTAAGCCAGTGAAAATAATTGTCTCATTTTAGAGTTTTTAAACAAACATAGGCTGACATAATTGGATTTTATTTTGACAGGTCATGTACGTAGAAGGCACAGCAGTTGTTATGGGTTTTGAAGAACCAATGCTACAGACCGATGACACTCCTGTAAAACGCTGCTTACAAACCAAATGGCCATATATAGAATTGCTCTGGACCACAGATCGATCTCCTTCTTTAAACTGATGTGTTGCACATAAACAACATACTACTATGGGATCCTTGAATGGGGATACAAGAATTGGTATTTGCTTGGAAAGTGGTATACTTTGACTGTGTGAAGTTATACACTGGTATCATTGATGAATTGTAAATAATTATTACAAACACTTTTTCAGTGTTAATTGGAATATTTAATTTTTTAATCAGATTGATTTCTATTATAATAGTTTGTCTTTTTTGGCCACTGTAGTACTGTTAATGTGAGTTATCCTGAAAAAAAAAGCCTACTTATGAAGACTTAACATTATTTTGCCATGTCATGAAGATTTGAAAAATGTCTGATGTTGCAGAATCTGCATATTAGATATCAGATCTTTAAAACATAAAACATATTCAGCTTCCTCTGAATCATATAGGCATGTTTTATTATTTAAATTATATTGGCTTACATTACAGTACCATAATGTGTGGACTAGACTGGCCTTTGCACTGGATATGTTTTAATGAGTTTAAATTTTCTGCAATTTTTCCTAAAATCTGATTTTACCTAAAGAGCTTGCACAATGTGACATAAATATGATACATTTTTAGGAATATTAGTAAGTATAATTAATAAATAAACTTTCTTCGCAGTTGTATAGTACTGTGGCTTAGTTATCGGGCATGTTAAAAGTGAACAGGAAATCTGAAGAAAAATAGATGTATTACTATTTATTTGAATTTGTATAAAAGAAATGTAAAAACAGCGGAAATAATTTCTTGTTCTATAATCTTTAAACTATTCAAACTTATAATATTGCCAAATACCTCTTCTCAATTTGTCCAAACAGCAGTGTAAGCCAGCGTTATTGTATGTGTTAAGTGCATGAGAACATCTGTTATTACATTATTATATTCCTTTATTTATTATCAACTTGTTAGCCCTAAAATAAAATCTTTTCCTTGAATCGCGTTGTATGGTTTCCAGTTTGGTTTTAATAGAATACTGCCTCTCTAAGATGATGAAAAGGGACCGTGGGTTTAGAAATGTCATGTTTTGAGTTGAACGCATGTCAGGAAAAAGAAACAAAACAAAACAACAAAAGATAATTTATGGCATCTTAACTGTGATTTCAGACCCTATGCTATTGCCAGCAGAGGTGAATTTAGCATTCAGAATTCTTATTTTTAAAAATTTACTTCATTTTTAAATAACCATGAGTCTAGAATGATCATCATACAGGAAAATAAACTGATTTGGTCAAAAATTATGTATAAGTGTAGGAGAGAAACCCTTGTTGGAGAATTTTCACTGTAAGGCATGTAATAGTGGTAGAAAGAGAACGTCCTTTGCGTGACACTTGTAGTTACGTCCTCTGCAAACTGTACAATATATCTGTTAGATTTACATCTGGAAATGGATGAACAGTATAGTTCTGTGGTGAGTTGGCCTTGGCTGGCCGCCAGGTGCCCTCTCACTCCCCTTCCTCAGCAAGACAGCAGGAGAAAATAGATTACAAATCTCCTTATCTCCTCATCAAGATAAGGACAAGGAGATTGATCACCATTCATCATCACGGGCAAAATAGACTCGAAATTAATTTAATTTATTGCCAATTAAAAATAGTGAGAAATAAACACAAAACTAACACCTTCTCCCTCACCCCTTCCTTTTTCTCAGGCTCAACTTCAATCCCAGCATCTTTACCTCCTCCCTACCGAGTGGGGCAGGGGGATGGGGAATGGCAGCTGTGGTCAGCTCATAACACTTCATCTCTGCCGCTCCTTCCTCCTCACACTGTTTCCCTGCTCCAGCATGAGGTCCCACCCACGGGAGACAGTCCTTCACTAACTACTCCAACATGGGTCCTTCCTATGGGCTGCAGTTCACAAACTGCTGCAGTATGGGTCTTTTCCGTGGGCTGCAGTCCCTCAAGAACAAACTGCTCCAGTGTGGGTCCCCCACAGGGTCACAAGTCCTGCCAGAAAACCCACTCCACTATGGGCTCCTCTCCACAGGCTGCAGCTCTTGCCAGTAGCCTGCTCTGGCATGGGCTCTCCATGGACTTCAGGCACATTCCTCTGCTCTGGTGTGGGGTCTTCCCCAAGCTGCAGGTGGATCTCTGCTCCCCCATTACCCTCCATGTGCTGCAGGGCCCAGCCTGCCTCACCATGGGCTGCACCACGGGCTGCAGGGGAATCTCTGCTCCGTCACCTGCAGCACCTCCTCCTCCTCCTCCTTTTCCCTGCCCTTGGTGTCTGCAGGGTTAGTTCTCTCACATTTTCTCACTCCTCTCTCCCAGGCCCCATGCAGCATTTTTTATGCCTTCTTAAATATGTTATTACAGAGACAGCACCAGTTTTGCTGACAGGCTCAGCTTTGGCCGGTGGCAGGTCCATCATGGAGCCAGCTGGAACTGGCTCCATGCAACATGGGGACAGCTCCTGGTGACCTTCTCACAGAGGCCACTGCCGCAGCTTCGTCCCCCCAGTTCAATCAGGACTTCTTTAAAAACATAACTTTTGAAATTACCATGACCATTTGTTATTGCAGAACAGGCAGTAATGTATCTTCTTTTTGAGATTTCTTTGTCTGAAAAGATAATTCCTTTGCAAATTACAATAATTTGAAAAGACTCCTTAATTCATTTTATCTGACTCACTTAGAACACAAGTATTCCATCTTGCTGTGTGGGCCTGATGTTAAAAGACTTGTGCAACAGTAGCATTGCTACTCAAAAGGATATAGACAGTTAAGAGAATCTGCTTTAATCTGGACTCTCTAGCAAGTCCAAAACTATTTTTCCTAAAATGCTCAGGCTTGATAGGTATTTATTTTAGCTGGTTTTGCATGTTTAAGAAAAATGTCTTTGGCAGACTTCCACTGATGTCTGGGAAGGTAAAAATCCACTTTTCTTGTTCTTTATCCTAGATTCTGTTGGCTGTCACGTCTTGTACTAGAGTGTCTCTCACCAGAGTTTGCACTGAATCATAGCTTGAATCTGTTAGAATAAACAGCCTTTTTCTAGTCCACTGTCAGATGCAATTTATGTCCCATCTAACAGAAAAGAATAATTTAGAAGCCCAGCTGATGTGCGATCTACATATAAGCATTAGTCTGGATTAAAACTTCTGCCATACTCCAGATTTATTCCTGTATCTTTCATTTTCTTTCATTACTGCCCAGTTGTTTGAGACCTGGCTTCTGTTTTACTTCATGTATTTTTGGACAACAGGGGCTTAACCCTGCTTATTGGAACTAACAGTGCTTAATGGAACTTCGCCAGGTCATCTGAGAGACTCAGCCAAGTGAACCTTCCTGTCCTTTCCTCCCTGATGAACAAGATGGGAGAGATTCTGACTTTATGGAAAAATTTGTCCCTTAAAAGAGTGTGGTTATTTAGAAGGCAGATTTATAATATGCGGAGCATTAATGTCAGGTACTTTTGATTGCTTCCATCGAAAAATGACTAGAAACCTGTATAGTTTTCACAAGTTGTTCTGCTTTAAGTATCAAATACATAGGCTCTGTGTGTGTGTGTGTGTGTGTTGCAGTTTGCAAATTGAGGCTATTGAGGCTGAATCAATGAGTAATACCAGAGCATTCTGTGGGATTAAATACATGCTTTAACCAGAGCAAAATGATAATGCTAACTGTAACAAAGCATGTGAACCAAATATGCAATTCAGTGACATTTTGATCAATAGTCTAGATGAAGGAATTTTTACATATTGCAACGGCAGTTCAATTTTAGTTGCCAAGGAAAGGTCACTGTCTTCTGGGAGACTACTAGTGTCCTAGTTGGCAACATGGTACAGTTAGTAGGCCATTGGATAGCCGGTCCAGAAAACTGGGTTCTCCCTCCCATGTCTCAAAGCCCTTTGAGACAGAAAATTGTGTCTCTTTGTTCTAAATTCAGTTTCATAACAAAGAGATGAGGAGAAAAAGAAGGTCCTGGGGTCAACTGCTGGTTGAAAGGTAAAAGATAAATTATTTTCACTTCGATGTATTCTGAAGTTTACAATTAGATACTCAAATTATCTAAGTAATGGAAAGACTACTTCTAATGCCTCATATTAGCCCAAGTGAGGTATATTCGAAGGCTTCAGGCTAACAAATATATATTTGGTTTGCTAAAGCCTGAGCTGTTCAAGGTAAACAGTCAGTTGTAAATCCAAATGTAAATATCCTTGTTATAATCCACATGAAGATCCCATTAGTGAATCACTTAAGTACTTGGAGGACACTGGTTTTTTGAGTACTTCTCTTAACGTTCTCAGCTTTATCTTTCAGGCAGTTATAATTTCTGCTTATCTGGTCCATCTGTATGCTTTTTTATTCTCTCTTCTCCTTGTGAGGATGGGTTTAGGCAGGTCTGGATGGAGCAGGGAAGTGATGTGGGAATAAAATCCAGAATGGCTATGTCTACACAACAGTTCATGAGCAGGAACAAGAACCTCCATTAGTGCAATGCATACCATAGTACATTTTGTGTCCAATAAGATGTCTACAGTCTGCCTGTGGACGGTTACTCTTGATTGCAAGCAAAGCATCAGGCACACAGCATCAGGCATGCTCTGGAGCGTGCCTTCAGACCCTGTTGTGGGTTTGCTGAGTATTGTGCTGTGGGTCTGCTGACTGCAATAGCCTGGGAGGTGCAGTGTGAACACTGAGGGCATTCGCAGCCTCCCCTGCAACATCTCTCCTGTTCCACCTCTGGGTTCTCACACACTAAGCAGCCAGTCTGTGCTTTCACCAAGCTCATTAGACTCTGCTTTACATTGATTAATACTTACAGTTACTTACATTAACTTACAGTTAATACTTACGACTAATGAAAAACCCCAGTATTTCCATGAGATCTCTTGAAAAGAAACATTTTTTTTTTCCAACAGGTTATATGCTTAGATTGCTAGAAGATTTAGTCTGTTCATTCTTTAATTAGCTTTAATGCTTTTCATGCATGAATTACTTCTGCTAAGATTTTTAACTTGGACAGTGTCCACAGAAGTAAGGTGTAAAATGTTGAACATCCTTTGTTGGCATGTCATCCTGAATTCAGACCCCATAAATGCTTTGTGGAGCCAGATCTACAAATGCTTTGTAGAGCATGGTCACATCCTCATTTTATCTTCTTGCTTTTCAACAGGATAATCAATACAAAATACTGTCTATGTAATAGCTCAAATTACAGTTTATCAGGCTTCCTGCCAACAGAAACAAAACTAGGAAACAACTAAGAAAAAAGGTAAGCTTTCTTATGGGAACTGGACACTTAAGCTTCTGTATTGCCATGTTTTGAAAAGATTTAATGGTAAAATTGTAATTTATTTTGACAAGGTTTATGTTAAAATCCCATATGATTCTTTGAAATATCCTTCCTCTGCTAGCAGGTACATTACTAAATAATGGAATAAATAAGATTAACAGTTTCATAACAGAGCCTTCTATGAAATACTAATATTTAAGTTTTGCTTCAGCAAAAGAAGTTTTCCATAGAAGCTTTGATCTATTTTTAAGATTGAAAAGATCACAATGCATATTAACCTCACCAACTGCACATAATACCAGCTGTAGAAATTCACACCATGAATCTTGTATAATTTTTTATATAATTTGAATTTTTCTGTATAAATTATTATTTGGTTCCACATTTGACCTTCCAGTTATTCTGTAGGGTAGATAATGACTTTTGGACTCTTGGCTAACTGTTCTTACAAAAGCTCTCTGTCCTGGCTCTGGGTCAGATTCCAGAGTCTATTAAGACTTTTTAGATCAATATTCAAAGCAGTTAATGTATTGGGCCACAAGTATGCTAAAGATCTAATTTCAGCCTACCAACAACTGGGGCAGCTACTCACCTCTTGAGCAGTGCAGATCACAACATCCTGTCCAAACATTTCTAAAGTCCAAGGAAACCAAGATCTGGAATAAGCTTCCAATGATCAGAACAGGTCCAGGCCATTCAG